CACTTAATTCGGTTCTTATAACTTCTTGAACAATATTTTTTACATCTGCGCCAGTTAAAGCCGTCGTATTTGGCGGTGAATTTAATGCAGGTCTTTTAGTGCCTCTGCCGGTATTGATGTTACGCAATGGCGTTGAATCTTGTTTTGAACATCTGGGAGCATTGTTTTTACATTGGGGGCAATTCCAATTTGATAGCACTTCAGTTTCATTGATCCCCGATATGGACAGACAGATGAAATGATTTATTACAATCCATACAATCAATAATCTCCTCATTCTGTCCGGTCTCAATATTGCAACATCCCCATTTACTCATCTTGCAATTTTTTTTGTATATATATATGGTAATATGCAAGTATATATTATAACTTTGCAATTTTCTATTCGTATGCTGAATATATTTATTCCACTAAATTTTAGCACCTTTCTGCACTATGTACGATCCTCGCAGAATGATATATTTATTACGAAAAGTTACTAATCTTTTAAAAATACACAAAAAGTGCAACTCGATGCGGCTCGAACCAGCTTTCTCGGACGTAGCGTATCAAGCACCAGAACCACAGGGCTAGCGTACTTAATTCTTACACTTTGAAATTAGTAGTCACTTTGTTTATATTTTAATTTTATTCTTGTGGGGGTCATGTAAGTTTATAACTCTATAAGTACCTTCATCACTAAAAACACATCTTGGATCACTTTAATTTTAAATACCACGCTATAACGATATACTGTAGCAGATATTATATTTACATAACAGCTTTGTAGACCGTATATTTATGTATGCGTTAACACCAATCACTTTGTTATGAAATGTCTTTTACAATTAAAAAAACTTTATATTACTGAGAGCGATATGACAACACGTCAACCCGCAACACACGTTCGCTATGGAGAGGGCTGCACATAAGCATTTATATCCTCTGATTGTTCGTCACATTCCTTCACAACAGCATGGATTCGTTCGTGGTCGCTCAACCAGGACTAATTTATCAATTTTTTCTAATGATGTTCTTCGAGGTATGGATGATGGTTTTCAGATTGATGCCATATATACAGACTTCGAGGAGGCATTTGATCGCGTGGATCACATTATTCTATTGCGTAAACTCGAAGAGCTAGGAATTCATGGAAATCTTCTTATGTGGATAGAGTCCTATCTACGTAACCGATCTCAAGCTGTTGTCATAGGTGAACATCGTTTTGATGTCGTGGATGTCCCATCTGGAGTCCCTCAAGGGTCCATATTGGGTCCGTTGCTGTATGCATCATACTTGTATGATATAGTAGACTGTTTTAAATTTTCCAAATTTCTCATGTATGCGGACGACACTAAAATTTACGCATATATTAAGTCTGAGGAAGATGCACACCAACTTCAGAAAGACTTGAACCAGCTTTGTTTCTTCTATCATGATAACCGTATTAGTGTTAATATAACAAAATGTTATCAAATAAGCTTCACTCGTAAAAGACACCAAATTGAATATCGATATAAATTAGATAACATACCTTTGGAACGCATCTACCAAACCAAAGATCTTGGTGTTATTTTTGATTCCAAGATGCTTATGTCTAATCATGTCACGACAATGGTTGCAAAAGCGTATAAAAATTTAGGATTTGTTCTAAGAGTGTCCCGTCCTTTCTCAGATTCTGAATGCATTAAAAATTTGTATTATTCTTATGTAAGAAGTGTTTTGGAGTATTGTTGTAATGTCTGGAATCCGCATTATTTGTCTTATATAGAGAATATAGAGCAAATACAATGTAAATTTATTAAGACGTTAAATTATCGTACTCAACATAAAAAAAGCAGTTATAAGGAATCTTGCTATCACCATAACTTATTGCTGTTAAAGGACCGACGTACACTTCTACAAATTTTGTTTCTACACGACATCTGTAGTAATAAAATTGATAGTCCCGAATTGACAGTTCAATTCCTACAATTGAATGCTCCTTCAATTGTAGGAATGTATGTCTGGTACGCTTCGGCGTACCAGACATACATCCCTATTTCATGTCCCTTTAAGTCGCTCTAAATATGCTCAAAATTCTGTCATTAGTCGTACACTTAACTGCTACAACAAAAACTTTTCAACTATTGATATTTTCCACGACAGTAAAGCTTCCATAAAAAAAAGAAATAATCTCAATTTTAAGAAATAGCAAGTAGTATAAATCTAAAAAATAACACGTACAAACATGCCACACCTCTTTCATACACACACTCTCACACTCACTCACACACACACACACACACACACACAACACACACACACACACACACACACACACACACACAAATACACACACAAATAAATATTTACAAAACAAAACACTAGTAGATGTACATATATGCACTGTATTTTGTAAAATGCGTAATGGCGTAATGACTACTCTTTAAAAATAACCCTGTATAATATTATTTCCACACAGTTGTAGCGATACGTTAGAAGATTTTTTTTTATAAAGTAAGAACCTGTAATTGGCAGTAGAAAATGTAAATACTTACTAATTTTATAATGTTACAAAATGCTGTTGGTTCTGTTACAATAAATAAATAAAAAAAAATATGATGTTGTGACCAGGATTAAGAAAAGAATGCTTCGGTGGTTTGGTCACGTAGAAAGAATGAACGAGGAAAGAGTGACAAAGCAAATTTATATTGCAGATGTGAACGGCAGCGTCGGGAAGGGTCACCGTGGGCGAAGGAATATCGACCAAATTGGTAATATATAGAAAATGGGCCACATTAAGAGTACCCTTAACCGACGAGCATGTATGCGTATATTTACGGATGTAAAGAAGGCGATAGAGGTGTGTCAGCATGCCAAATGGTATGGTCCGTAGTCTATGCCTACCCCTCTTGGTTAAAAACGTGAGTGTTTATGTCTATAAATAAGCCTATATTTATTAAATAAACATATCGCATATTTATTTTCACAGAAAAATATTTTACGCATATTAAGCGAGTTTGACCCTACTTCACTGTCCGACAACGACGGTGGCGGGTGCACAAGAATTAATAACATGGACATGGGATAAAGCAGTTATTTCATTTACAAAAAACCAATGAATATATTTCATGAAAAAGATTAATAAATAGCCACGTGTTAATCACGACTAACAATGAAGTGTGTAATCTTGTTTTATTGCCAATTTTGATAACAAGCAACCGTAGCAGCTTAGGGGTTAAGCACTAGTATAGTATACGGGAAACTCGTTAAAAAAATTTAAGTGCTAATTTACCACGTGCCCAGCGGTGAAGGAAAACATAGTAAGGAAATCTGTGTGATGAAAAAATATATTTCGAACACATGGTGTGAAATCCGCCAACACGCATTGCGGCAGTGCGGTGGAACTTGGCTTATACGAAACCCTCTCAGAAACGAAAAGAGACCTGTGTCAATTACTGGGACATATATAGGTGTAACTTTACTTTTATTAACTATTGGTGTAGCGGTGCTCAGTACGACAACAAACAAACGAACGAACTGCTACGTTGCTCGCTCAACTAAACGCAGTGTACTCAGCGCATATTTTCGTAGCAAGTGTAATAATAAATATCCTAGGTTAAATTCCTTTTACACTTTGGAACTCATCTATTGGTACCATCCTCTTACCTATTTCTATCAACAAACTGTAGTGCATACACTGCTGTATTTTGATTTGAAGGATAAAGAGAGCCAGAATAATTACGACCTCTGAGGGATTTTATTAGAGCCCTCAGAGGTGACAAAGCACCTGTAAACTTCTTTGTATGCAGTTAGTTGGTGGTGACCATAAGCTGCAGTAGCTACTTATCATCAGGTGGACTATGGGATCGTTTGTCACTTCAATATTTTAAAATATTTATTAACCATAAACTCATGTTATCCGACCACAAAAGGTTCATAAATCCAATATTTTCCTGTTCTAAATTAAGTACTGTATAAAGACGTAACTAGCTTTAAACTAGTTACGTATTTATACAGTTAGATTAACATTTCGTGCTCTATATATTTGTGTTAGCTCTTATGTGTTAATGGTCTATTACGCACGTGGATTAATCACCCTCTCCATAGCTCACTGAGTGACCTTGAGCTTCCTCATACAGCCAGTAGTGAAGGACCACGTCTCAGATCCATAAGTCATCACTTCCATCACAACACAACACATCACAACATGCACTGATTGTACAATCTCGTTTTAAAATTTTGATGTATACCTAACAAGAGCATGTGTTGTAATTTCCCGAACGCCACCCAGCCGATTTGAATCCGTCGATTTTGTCGAAATCCCGTGCGGTCGAAGTTGGAGCTACCTAGTCGAACTATTTGTCCCAGATAAACATACTCGATAACAACTTCGAGCTTAGTGCTCCGAACAACTAACGGCAAAAGCAAAAATAATTCAAGGCAAAAGTCTCATGTGACCCTGGGAAATGGGTTGATGCTTACGTCTACTTACTTATTTATAAAATTCATTATTAGATAAATTCCTTAAAGTAAACTATTTCCTTTCTCTCATTTCTCACAAATTGAGTAATTATATAATATTATTTCATTAAAATTTGATTGCCGTGCCGTGAAATTACAGTTTTGTTGAACGGGCCAAATTTAATTGTAGTAGCCATTGTTTGACTTGGAATTCTAAATTCAAATCAATTTAACACTAAAATATATTATTCCTTTTTAAAAATCATACGTTAATTTGTATTTTTGGTTTTTTTTTCTTAATTTTCTAAATTCATGTTATTATTGTATATGACGAAGTGGAAACAATACGTCTCAAACGGCACCCTATATCAGTTATAATTCACGGAACGTAATTCTAACGCTGAACGAAACGTGGAGGGGATAGCTGCAAATGTCATATCGGTAAGGAGGACAGAATATGACTTAGAGCCAATTAGCGTGTGCGAACGCACAGCCAATCATACGAGGGCGGCACTGAAAATTTCGGGAATCAAGGAAGTGAAAGTGAAACACAACATTACTGTTTAAAAATGTATTTATTGCTTTTCGAAGTATTCTCCGCGAAATTTGACACATTTTTCCATACGATGGAACCAATCATTGAAGCAACTATTCCATTCGGAAGTTGCGGTCTCCAAAATGGCCATTTTGTAGGCATCCACAGCTTCTTCAGGTGATGAAAATCTCCGTCCACGCAATTTATTTTTTATTTTAGGGAAAGTATAGAAATCATTAGAGCTTAGGTCGGGGCTAAACGACGGATGGTCTAATAATTTTATGTTTTCTTGCTCTAAAAACTCTTTTGTTCTGTGTGCGGTGTGAGAACTCGCATTGTCGTGATGGAGGGTGATGCGGCGGTTGCAGTTCTCTTTCCGGAGTTCAGAAACGACATGTGGCAAACAAATGTTAGCATACCATTCTGCATTAACCGTTCTTTGTTCATCAAGAGGAATAGTCGTAACATGACCGGTTTTGGAGACAAACATGGTCACCATTTTTTTTGCAACACTCCGTGAACGAACAATTTTTGTTGGCTTTAACTCATTTTCGAACACCCAAACTCGTGACTGATTTTTTGTTTCGGGTTCGTAGGCGTATATCCAGGATTCGTCACCTGATACGATGTTGTATACAGCATTTGAGGATCCTGCGTGGAACCTTTAGAAAGTTCTGGCGCACCAAGTAACGCGAGCCGCTTTTTGCTCTTCACAGAGCGAATGCGGTATCCATCGGGAAAACAACTTTTTTACACCTAATTGTTCATGCAAGATTATTTGTATTTGACTCATCCCAATCTCGAAAGTTGTCTGAATTTCGCGGTATGTCACATGTCGATCTTCCTCAATCAGCTTACGCACAGCATCAACGTTTTCTTGAGTGACTGCAGTTTTTGGACGACCTTGACGAGGATCATCACTGAGCTTGACACGTCCACGTTGAATTTCAGCAAATCAGCGATAAATTGTGGCTTTGGATGGGGTTTCATCACCAAATGCAGAAATCATCCGGTCAACACACTGTTTTTGTGTTAAACCACTTCGAAAGTCGTAATAAATCATGCCTCTTGAATTTTCTCGAGTCAATTCCATTTTATAAACGACTAAACAAGTTTGACAAAACCTTGTGACAAGACCGAGAATCTTTTTTTTAAATAAATAAATGGTATTCGATTTTTAAAACCAAGGAGTTTTCAATTAAAAAAGATTTTAATATGATAGGAACAGTTAACGATACTTTCAGTGCAGCCTAGTACGCAATAATGCGCAATACGGCTAATTATGCGCAATAATGGTCACCGCTAGACTTTACGGATATACGTATACGGATACTAGGACTTTGACCGCTCAATAATAAATTTATTTGTGAGATTGATTTGAAGATTTGAGATACGAGGTCAATATTTCACAGGTTACGAAGAATGCCTTACAGCCTGTGATGATACTGCCTCTCTTACTTTTCAAACTATAACACAGCAGTGTATGTATACAGTGTGTGTGTACTGCTACTTGGTAGCAGAAATAGGTATGTTAACGCCAACCTTCTTGAAACATATCTTTTTTTCTTTCTTTTTCAAAAAAAAAACGTTACCCTACACTAGGATTTTCTCCCGTATCGTGGAGGCAGTTTACATAGATAATATAGACTAGGACAAATATCCAGAAACAGAACAATTGTAGGCCATACAAATACTTGTTCCGTGCGGGATTCGAACTCGCGGCCCTCAGTGCTATAACTCGTTGCTAAGCTACTGCGCTACGAGACCGTCAACATATATCAAAATTGCAATACTGTCTTTATTATCATCCCTTCACAAGCTCACTGCTAAAGATAGGCCTCCGCCAAGGAATGTCACCCAAACCAAACACACACCAAAGTCTTGAAAAAACTGCGTCCATCGACGTTGCGGCATGTATTACTCTTCGATGTTGATTATTTCGCTCCCAAGTTGGATAAGTCTCTACTGCATAAGAGTCTGTGTAAAAGTGGTGCACTTTTGTGTTTTAGTTGAGGAGTAAAAAGATCACTATGATTATGAACTATCAGGCATTCTTTCTTAGTCCTCAAGTGTTCCACTTGTTGGATTTATATTTAGCTGGCTGCAGTGGTCACTTATTATTGCGAGGCCTATGTCTAGCAGTGGTCTTGTGAAGGGCTGTAATGATGATGATGATGATGATGATGATGAGTGGTCACTTAAATTTAGGTAGGCTATAGGTTCACTTATTTTGTCTATCTTTAATATTATTAAAATAAAATCAAGGTTCCTTATTTGATGAACGTAATTTAAGAATTTACCAAAACGGAAATTGAAATGTAATCGGAACGAAATGAAACGAAAGCGAGTTAATAAAAACGAATTAAAAATACAATACAATATCGTATCCTAAACTTAAAATTAATAAATTTTTTAAATAACCCAATTAAATATTTAAATAATGGTTACAAATTCCTAAATCAAGATTCACAAAATATTCTAAGGAATTTGTTTTGCTAATCATGACCTAAATTGCAAATAGCAGTAAATAAGCAGCCAAAAAAGCAACTACGTTTTCCTCTCCCGCATTAATAATATTTAACCTCATTATGTCTGTTATTAAGTTACTAGACACTCAAAGCAGAAAATTGTGTCCTGGGGAGTTGTTCAAGAAAAAGTTTTATTAATTTACGTCAAACGATTGGATCAAATCACAGTTAATATTTGTTATTTCTATTACGTACGTTTATATATAATTTTTTTCAACAACTTACTATGTAGGTAGGTAGGTCCACCTGGGTACCATCGCTTGTCAAACGTAATGATAACAACAATTTCTTCGAACGCATCAGCTTGTCAAACGTAATGATAACAACAATATCTTCGAACTTGGTAAAATTAGTCCACCTCATGGTAAGTGGATACTATGGCCCATAAACATCTAAATTTATCCTCAATTAGGAATCAAACTGCAGATACGTTGTCGCCCCTGAGGGCTAAGATGGAATGCCTTTTATCACGGTATTTTACGCTCGTATTCTGTGAGAGCGTGGTCCTTCCACGGTATGACCAATCCATTTGTGCTACATCCATAATATAGCTGCAGCATGACTTTAATACTCTATGTGATCCCGTGAGTGTTGTAATATACGTCTATAGGAAATGTCATGTCCTTCACGCTAGACGTAATATACGACACGTCGGGTACTGCGGTCGGCAATCCACCGTCCAATCATGATGATTAACATACAACAGGAAAGGCCCATGTCCAACAGTGGTCATGTGCATCAGCAAGGCTTATGAAGATGAACGTAATATAGTAGGGTTGGCAACGTATAAATAGGATAGGATGAGATGGAGCCCCTTTATTTGTGCATACGCTTGTGACACTATACGACAGTATTGGATCTGATATCACAAACCATGTTCAAAATTGATCCGGAATATAACATTACAAACCTTAGGCTGACGTTACAGTGGCGAAAGATTTTGCAGTGAAAAGTGTTTGACACGGCTTGCTTTGAACTTAAAACATTTTGTATACAAACATCTTTTCTATCTCGCGGAGAGAGTGAACTTGTAAAATCATAAAATATCGTCGCTCTAAAATCTTTTCGCATTAATTCCATTTATGCTACGGATGATGAACTTCAACTTGTCATAAAAAAGCAAATGATACGCGTCTTCTGGCGAAACACTTTAATCAATATAGTAGCTCTCTACTTTTGAAATTTCCGTTCCGCAGTACGGGCCATAATTTTTGTTTGGCTAAGTATTATAATTTCAAATTAATTATCCATTTCTTATCAAGTGCACTGTGTGATCGTTTGTTAGACTAATTCTTTAAAAGAAAATGTAGAACTTCATAAAATCAGTGTTAATAAAAAAAGTGTAAAAAATGACTGTCACGGTCACAAAATAATGTACGCTGCGCAACTGTGCCGCACGCTCCGCCGAAATCTTCCTACTCAAGCCTTTCAAGGCTAAGTCAACTTTGTTTCCTGTGTTCAACGCATTTTAACTCTTATTTCTTAAACGATAGGGGTGACCTGTATTTATACACTGTAATACAATTATGCTAGTAAATTTTGTTTACAAATAGATTAAATTGACGGTCCCTGTTCGCATACCCCGACATCCTATCAAAAAAACTTTTGCCTTGCCTTCTGTAAGGACTAACCTTGGACGCCATTCTCCTCTCGTCAGATTTTGCGCAAAGTACAACGAAATGAATATTGAAACATTAGACATTTTTCACGACTTGTTGTTTAAATTTAGACGAAAACTGGCTGGCCTTTTGTGAAGAGGCATTTTTTCTTAGTTAAGTTCCTAGTTTTGCTTTGGTGAATTTTTATATTTTATTGTTTTAAAATTTTCGGATATATATTATGTTGTTACTAAATATCTTCTGTCAACGTTGTGTACGCCTATAATAGGTATGTTGCGCGCCTAAGTTGACGTCATGTACCCGGCACTAGCGCCATCTAGTGTCGGAGACGAGAGCGAGGAGGGCTTCCTAGAAAATGTCAATCTTGACTTTCGACCAACAGCGCCATCTAATATCGAACAGAAGAATTAAGCTTTCTGGAAGCCCTACACTCGAACTTTCTACGTCTGCTCGGTCGGCGCCCGTATCTACCGGAATATTCTGAATGTTTCGGTGAAAAAGGTGTATGAAAAGGCGCGGTAAGACGCGATCGAAGCAGTATTGAATTTGGCGAGACAAGCGAAGCTTCGGAGCGAAATAAAGTGAATCAGTGTTATTAATTACATAGGCTGCACTAAAAGTATCGGGAATGGAATATTTCCACTGTTCCTGTCATATTAAAATCTTTTTATTTGAAAATTCCTTGGTTTTAAAAATCGAATACCATTTGTTTATTTTAAAAAATATTCTCGGTCTTGTCACAAGGTTTTGTCAAACTTGTTTAGTCGTTGAGAATTTGGAATTGACTCGAGAAAATTCAAGAGCGATGATTTATTATGACTTTCGAAGTGGTTTAACACAAAAACAGTGTGTTGACCGGATGATTTCTGCATTTGGTGATGAAGCCCCATCCAAAACCACAATTTATCGCTGGTTTGCTGAATTTCAACGTGAACGTGTCAAGCTCAGTGATGATCCCCGTCAAGGTCGTCCAAAAACTGCAGTCACCCAAGAAAACGTTGATGCTGTACGTAAGCTGATTGAGGAAGATCGACATGTGACATACCGCGAAATTCAGGCAACTTTAGACATTCAAAATACAAATAATCTTGCATGAACAATTAGGTGTAAAAAAGTTGTTTTCCCAATGGATACCACATTCGCTGTGTGAAGAGTAAAAAGCGGCTCGCGTTACTTGGTGCGTCAGAAATCTCGAAAGATTCCACGACTCAAATGCTGTATACAACATCGTATCAGGTGACAAATCCTGGATATACGCGTACTAACCCGAAACAAAAAACCCAGTCACGAGTTTGGGTGGTCGAAAATGAGTTAAAGCCAACAAAAATTGTTCGTTCACGGAGTGTTGCAAA